TGTGATGAGTGGGCTGTAGGCGGAAAAATACGAACAAACTAAACTATTTATTAACAAAACTTTTTTTGTGTTGAAATTTAAAGACAATGGTCTCAAACTCTACACCGAATAATGCTAATTCATAATGGTTATTATATCTATGATCGATAATGTAGCCATGTTGCTTTGAAATGGTGACCATACAAATGGATGCATTTTAAGCCAAGTATGAATGGAGATGAGTGTGGGGTGAGTGGAGCGATGTTGTTGTCCTGTTTGTGACTAAGGCCGACATAATCCTTAGACACAGCTGTTAATTAATAGTGCATACAGTCAATTAATAGCAGCAGAGGTCAAGTTTGGTATCAAATTAAAGGTTTTATTCATAAAAATACATTGCCGCAAACCCAAACTCAAACGATGATGATGATAAGTCGCTAAAACGTATAGTTTGAAATTTAACAGCTGAAAATAAGTGAAATAGAAAAGGTTTTGGTTAAATCCATCAAATTGTAATTGGACACTAGTAAATACTAGTGAACTTGTTGCTACCTATCCCCCCTTCGGTTTCATGTATTCCTCTCAATCAGTTCAAACCTAGGAGGATTAAACATTAATGTTAATTAATGTTAAATCCTCCTAGATTCAAACCTGAAACACCCAGATCGAAACTCGCCTGTCGTTATTTTACCATCGCCTTTTTTTAAAATATATTTTTCAAAAAAGAAATATTATATTGATTTACTTTGGATTTTAAAAATGTTAACGTTTTATTTTGTTAAAGATTTATGGTGATAAGTAAATATTGTGGTGTAGTAAAGTATATTATATTGTAGTTTATTATGTATTCTTATAAGTGAAAAATGTAAGCTGGTAATAAAGAAAGATGTTTTATAAATAATATGAATGTACTGGTGATCTGTATATTCATCTTTTTCTTGTCCTTAACTATAAATTAAAAGTCCACTCAGCAGTCGCATCGTACGATGTAGTTCTTTCCATGCGTTGCGAAATGCTAAATTTGCCGTCCTCTTCAACCCAAGTTATCTACTGAACCACTGATTGTAAAAAATTCAAAGAAATATATTTTACGCATCACACTTTTGGCTACAACTTTGCCACAAACAAAACCTCTCTAACCCAAAAACAAACAAAAAATCTCGCATGCTAACTTTTTCATGTTAGAAACCACGATTTAAAACTATTTCACCGTACAAATCAATTTTTATTAATTAGATCGGTAAATAGTTTAAAGTTCCAACAAAATAGTCATCGAGTAGGACTAACCAAGAAGCTCTGTGCCAAATTTCAAAATTTTAGCACAGCTTTAAGTACACCAAAACACGAAATTATTGAAGTCATGCGTCGAGAGGACTATCGTTGTTTTTAACAGATTATACTTTTGACCTTCCGGCACTGTTGACTCAGCGAAACTGAACTTATATTTTATCTTATTTCGTTATATTAAAACTGCTGTTGCATTAGGTCAAATTCCCAATAAGTCAATTGCATTAACATAGACTACGTTTTTAGCCCGGACTGTACTATTTGACTTACTGGGATTTTTGATCTACAGACACTGCAAACATTGTAGTTTTTGACCTAGCGGCACAGGTATAAATTATTTGACCTTCTGGGACTGTTGACTTTCTGCAACGCGTCCGTTGTATTTACATTGATATTACTACACAGCTGTTTGCATTGTTGTATTCTTGTTAAATCAATATCTGAGGTACCAGTAGAAGCTCAATCTTATCTTGTTATTTCAATTATTTTAGCACAATATTAGCGTATTTTTGCATGATTTTAGCACGTAAAATAGTAAAACCGAATCGAACGTTTTATTTGAATACTATATTGCTCATACTCTCATTTTACTACAAAATAGTAAAATGTGTCCTAAAATAGTTGAGAAACATTTAGCCAGCATTGCACTTAAGAGAACCGCAAATGAATCACAACAAAACATGCTTCCGAATTCACAATCAAGAAAACTACTTAAAGTTCTTAAGACAATGACAAACAATGTTCGTATGCATTATGTGTCTTATCGACAACATGACCACATAGAGTTGGTTAGGCTTAATGATTCATACATATGCGTGTTGTCATACAACATTCACATCAACAATACAACGACGCAGCGACCCGTTGTCACTACCGCTTTGAGTTGGTCTTTGCATATAAAATGACAATTGACCAACAGTTAAGGAAGAATGACTCCTTAGTTATAAATAAGGGGGGTGTAACATTTGGCTGGCGCCAATGTCTTAAGAGGTGCTAGATACAAATTGTTCATCAGGGTAAACAATTCATTTGAATATGCTTTGTTTAGTTGTGAGGATTGATAATTTATGCTACTAAAAAAAACATCCTTAGCAATACGAGTTTAGGTCTACGTTTTACAAAAAAATGTAAATGGATTAACTTATTGTTATCCAGTAGTTGGTTTGAGAAGAAGGTTTGTTATCCAGTAGTTGGTTAACAAGAAAACAGGCTTAAAACAGGCAAATGCGATCAATAATTTTGTTAAAGAGGGGTCCATGGTTCTGCACTTGGTCAGATAACAGAAAGAAAATAAACCTTTTTGGCACGTAACTATTATAGCATTGGTAAACGTCCAGACGATGTGAAGAAAAGCGAAACAACACTTTTAGTACAGTAAAAAAAGATACTGACATATCAACCTAACTAATAATAACAAAAATTAACTCTAATTGCGTACGTACTCATAAACACTGTGTGGTATTTCCCCTTAAACTAAAGTAAATTTCCTTCTTTTCAATAACAATAATAGCCGTAGTTGGTTAGTGAGTTATAACACAGACAAGGGAAACAAAAGCTAACTTTTATTATAAACTAGCTAATAATAAGTTACTACAGAATGAAGTAATACGAACAAATAATCACACCTGGTTCTAATAAGGTAATAAATTGAAAAAATAACAAACAAATAAGTACAGCTGAGGTATTTTTAACATTAGGTACATGGAAAGATGGAAAGTTCCCTTTAGAAAGGGATGAAATAATGGATAGTTTTGCGCAAGGTTTCTCGTCATGACGAACATTTTAAGTAGCCTATATGGTTTATGGGGGTGTGACTTCTCAAAAGTTCATGGGCACGTTCACATTTATATATGGATTCTTGTTTGTTATTAAACATTGTACACTAGTCAATTATAACTGAGTCTTGCCCGCCTCGAAGAAATAACCTTTGGTAGATAGGATTTGTTCCTCAGGTTATTCTGGGAGTAACCAAACAGGAAAGGACCTTTGTTTAAACCCGTCTGGCAATTATCAGTCTAAACTCAACAACTCTCTCTTCTACCTATGATGACAACAATTTCTTCTTTGAAAGTTTACATTGAATAGCGTTGGTTTGTTTGTCGGAAGATCCTATTTAATCTCCAAAATTCCAGTTAATCAAATTGTAAATATTGTAATATACGAAAAGGATTATCTTTGTATCACTAGTACTAGATTAAAATGCAACTAGCCTATTTTAAAGGTGTATTTAGAAAACTACAATGAATTAAAGGTGAGTGCCTTATTTATTTTTATTTTTTAAAGTATATTTTTTACTGACTGAGATCAGCTGTTTCTTTTAAGTGGGACCATTAAAAAACCCAACGATTGGAAACAGCTGAGTTTCTAACCATAAAAAACTACCATTTTACCAAACTACCATTAAGTACCATTTTCAAAATCGCACCAGCTTTTTTCTCGATTATGGTGTGAAAAGCTATCTTCAATAGTTCACTGAATGTAAAGTACACAAGTCACGTAGAAACTGGCTCAATAAAACGTTGATTGGCTAAATTACTTTGTAAAATAAGCAAGTTGAATGCCACAGACAATATTCCACTTCCATGTCTTACATTAAACCATCGATCAAATTGCGTGTTCTAAACAAAGAAAAACCATGAGTCAGTTACCAAAACAGGTTAACATGCCTCAATATTTAATTGATAACTATTAAACTTGTTTGCGATTATTTTGAGCCTACTGTACTTACTTATTCTCCGGAAGCAAAAGTCTAGTACAATCCAAATCTCACGAAATACAAAATGCTTTACATGATGGAAATAGTGGAATATATCTATACTTCAATCGTCAAATCGCGAGCTGTCAACCAAACATTGATCCACCCATTTAGTGTCGATCCACGATCGACTTAAGAGGAAGTTTTGTATAGTTAGCGACTCCAGCTAAATCCAGACAACTATTTTGGAATGCAACTCTGAGAGCACACGCATGCGCTAATCCAAAGTCGATGAAATGTTTATTTTGACATTTTGATCGCTTAGTGATTGTTTTGAAGACAGGCAATCGTGAATGCCAATGATCGTGATCGCGATTGTATACCTTCCAAACTCTTTGATGCTGCTCAAAATCGAAAATTAAAAATAGGTAACAACAAATCTATTGGCCGCAACAGCAATTAATTATTGTCAGAACCGATGGTAAGTGTTTTTTGTCGTATGGCCCTTCAAAATTTAAATCTCATCGTAAATTAGAAATTTAGTACTTTTTTAAGAATATTTATGTAATGCCTAGAAAGTAATAATACCACAGACACGAATATGGCTACTCTCTGTGATAATACTACTGAAGTTAAATTGTAGTTCAGTATTCCTTGGGGATCAATATATTATTTTAACTGAATATGGCAAAATAATAGAATAATTAATAGATTTCATAAACTAAAATGGATATTCAGTGAACCTATTATAGTAAAAAATCGGATATATTTTTAGTTTTCATTTATTTTAAATCAAAGTTTTAAATCAATTTGACCCATGACTACGAATATAAGTAAAATAATCTAAAATCTTTATCATTGACCAACCTAATCGCACATAACGACGACACTCCTATAATCTAATTGATAAAAATAAAAAGTGGTAAAATTACAAGTTTTGACACCGCATCCCAGAGAGAGATTCATATACAGAACAAATTCAAATAACTTTGTCACATAGAACTATATCGTATTTGCATGTTAAGTGATGGGATCCTACCTGTTTTGATCAGCTGTGAGGTATGTTGTCGTACCGTGTCTTCAGATCGACTGCAAGCAATCCCCTACATACATGTACAGAACAGCTGGTCGCCGATAGAATGCGCGCGCATCGCAGATACCACTTCTTATCACTCCACCGTCCGTCGCCTCGTGCCTTCACTACTTTGAGTGTCATGCACTTAACTTGGTGACAATCACACATTCACGTAAATGAGTGGTTACAATTAATTCGCAACAATGGTAAATAGTTTTAACTAGGAACATAAGAAAGTCGTCCTAAATAATAAGCTACTGTACTAAAAGCAATGACTGGGCACAGACTTTAAAAATAGATAGTAAAACAGCCAAAATGTATATGAAAAATAGTCCTAGAATATATCACAAGAAGAAAGTATAACAATTTGTGATAACAGAGGAATCTTCGACACAATAACCAGGAAACAAACGAGATGGTGTGTCAATCATTGAGTTAACTTGCTTCTCCTGTATTATTAACAAGAGGACTTGTTTCCCTAAAATACAAACTAGCCATTAAAACATTATTGTTAATTCGATATTTTGAAAAAAAAAACTTTAGGGTCACAGTAAAACTTAAACTAAACTTTCAAAAAATCCAAAATACGTAGTTTTTAAATGGTTAAATAACAAAACATACAACGTACAATAACGTCCGCTAACGTCGCTACAAAAACAGGACCGAGACAATTTATTGTCTCCAGCAGATCCATAAGGACGACTGATATGTTAGGGAGCATTTTCAGTCTATGCTTTAATTTATCATGGTATCACGATTTTATTTCAGTGCACTTCTAAAAGGAAATAAGCCCCCTCAATAATCTTACTGGCCTTAGAATTGTTCTCAGCCGATCCATAAGGATGATAGTCCAGTCAAATGGGGTTTAAAAAGGGTTTGAAGTGGAAAGTTTACAGGTAATTGTTATTTAGAGCTCACTTTATATATTTGGTGGTGCTGAACACGAATCTGAAGTTGTCCAACAAATCTATTTCGGCAAATATGAGAAAATACAAAAAAAATCTTTATAGTCTAAGCAAACAAAAAACAGACACATGGGTCGTTAGTAAATTGCAAGAAAATGTGTCATGGCTTTATTTTGTAGTGTTGGGTGTGCATGTTTGAAATACTACAAGTTATACTAAAAGTTGGGCAAAATCGATGCACTGGAAACCCCCTAAAATCACGACTACAAATTAATTGTAGCTATTCCCAACATTAGACAAATAAAAAAATTACCACATGAATTTGTTATGGACGTTTTTTTGAGAAATTGACTTGAGACCACCATCGATATTTATTGGGTGTTAGTCCTTCATTTCGATAGGGAACGCGTTTTTGGTCGCCAAAATATAAATGATTTTTTTATGTAATGATAGCGTTGTGACACATTATTATAAACTAGATTTTCACGCTGATTTCAATGCCGAAATCCATTAAATATATTTTTTTCGTTTTGAAGATATATTCAAACAAAAACTCTCCCCCATACATTTCTTATGGACGTTTCGTACGTTTGTAGATTTTTAAAGATTATTTTTCTTATATCGTATTACATCTTATATTCCTATAAACTTTTCACTTCCAAATACCTTTTACTGGACCATGACTAATATAGTAAGTTTTATCATTTCACTTTCCACAGCAATGATTTCACACGATGTGAGCGTATGTGCGACAAAGGCATTTCTGTTACATTGTTGCAATCACGTGACTCATGATTGTTACAATCACGTGACCAGGTAGGCCGACCACGTGTATTTGTTATCAGTCACGACCCACTAGTGATAACACCTGTGTCTTATCACTGCATTGTTAACAGCTTTAACAGCTCGTCTGCTACTAACAATGTTAACAACTCCGAGAATCGATCATCCATCTTGTACTCTGTATGCTTTGTAGTTGTAGTTTTCCTCTTACCCGAGTACCAGCATTACTATACTGTAAATAGGAATGAATGATACAAAATTTAGCAATAGGTTAAACAGTTAGTTTTTTTAGGTTAGAATTTTTATTACCTACTTTTTGAATTGGTTTCATTGTCAATTGTGTACACCAATCTTAATTTAGTGAGCATAAGCCAATGGCCATACAATTTAAGCAAAATTTGGAATCACTGAAATAGGTTTGTTAAATAAATATGAATATTTTTTTATGAGACATCATAATATTAAAACGACACCTAAAAATTTTAAATTCCATTTTTGCTTAAAAAAAGATTTTTGTAGGCTATATATTTTTAAATTTTTTTTGTAAGGGAATCTTGGTATTTTTAAGTATCATTAATCCCAATTCCAATGACCAATGAGTCAACTCCGCTTTGGCACTTGGGATCATACTAGCAAACTTGAGTTTTGAAGGCGAGCTCTTTATCCAATCAACTACTCAGACTAAAGTTTTGCCTGGACAGAGAAATTCTTAAAAGGAGAAACACAACTTAAACTAACTATGTACCGGTAGTTATAGGTTTAGGTTAGTATCTTTAAGCTTCCAAAACAACACAAAAGGTTTATAGTTGTTCATAAATCATGTTTATCTTTATTCCTCATGTTATCTACCTACTATTTTACTAAATAATACATTTCTGCAATCACAAGAACTAGAATATTTTCTTCCTTGAACATTTTTTTAAGTCTTCAATGTTTCTTTTAATAGGTAAGCTATTGTTCCATCCAGACAACATAATTATGTCACATAATGTACATTATGTGTAATATGTAATGTTAATTGTGGTTGGTAAATAAATTGACCGATTTTATAATTTTATATTTTTTAAGGTCTGAAAATAATTTATTGGACTCGAGAAGAGGATTCACATGAAATGTTTTATAGGGACAACGCAGGATTTAATATCGTATACTGTATCACAGTTAACCCCTACAATCTATTTGGAAGAAAAACAACAATGAAGGTGGTTGACCCTAAATAAATAAAGACAGCCTTGGTTATTTATAGTTTAATGTTTTTATAAGTATATAAACCTATTCCATGAAATTCTACACGTATGTACCAAGTTTCGTGGCAATCGGTTCAGCGGTGTCTGAGTTTATCACTGCCAAATATATATACAAACATCCTCTTTTATACTTATAGATATCAATATAAATTCTAAGAAATCATTTATACTCATTCTCTAATTGATCAAGATCAAAAATATTGTTATTTTAATAAGTTAATTTTTTCTTCAGTTTAGCCTATATTTTTATTTTGTTATCCTTTGTGTTTAGCAGTTTGATCAAGAAGGATATAATATATTTTTTAGATAAATTATCTTTATACAGGGTGGCGCATAAAGAACGCATGGATTTGAGTTGAGTGGTAAGAGCAATAAAAGCGTCCGTGGAGGGACTGGGCCTGGTTGTTTTGTAGGTTAGGGCGTCCAGTTTTAGTAGTAATGGTGCAATCAACCTGACGCATCGCGTTTTTGCTGTAGAACATTTATTAAAAAATAATGAATCTTATACAACTGTTCAATGGCTTCTCCGTGCATAGTTCAATGGTTCAAAACAAAACCCCATCGCAACACAATACTTTGTTGGATAGCTCCTTTTCGCACAATTGAATCAGTTATGAAGCAGAAGTGGTTTGGTTGTCCTTGCACGGCGCGAACTCCACAAAATGTCGACAGAGTAAGGGCGTCTGTTACACTAGGCGATGCGCTCCAACTGTGTGCTTGTCTTGACGCTCGTTGCAGGGCAACCTGAAAGACGAGTTAAAATTTCATCCTTACAAAATTATGATCGAACAGAAGATTTATGAACGTGATTACGAAAATGGAAACTGTTTTGAGAGAATGGTTGATGTTCTTGCCACTGATGGCGTTTTGTGTGTGATGTTAATGATGGAGCGCAGTTTCATTTGGATAGTTATGTCAATAAGCAAAACTGGCACTATTTGGCAGCAGAAGACCCAAAAGAATTGCATCAAAAACCACTGCACGATTTGAAACTTAACGTTTGGTGTAACTTTCGTTATTTTTGGGCCTTACCGTACTTTTTTCAGGACTCGCGGAACATTGAACTTTGTGCAGAAAAGCCGTTGAACAGTTTTAACAGATTTAATTACTTTTGAATAAATGTTCTACCGCAAAAATCCGATGTACCACGGACCTCTGCACCATTGCTACTAAAACTGGACACCCTAACCTACAAAACAACCAGGCCCAGTCCCTCCACTACGCTCCTATCGCTCTCACCACTCAACTCAAATCCATGCGTTCTTTATGCGCCACCCAGTATAATGTTTACGGATTTTTATTCTTATACAAAAACTAATGGAAACTTATTTCTGAGGGTAAAAAAGACATCAAACAATACATGAAATTTATAAAGGAACTTGAAATGTTTGATTTTATGACACTTAATATAAATATAATATGTTATGATCTGTAAAATTTATAATTTTTATTGAATACTACCATTATACTACTAAATAATGTAATAAATTAAGTAAATATATACCTACATGTGCTGTGTCACACTATAAATAGTATTATTACTTGTGTGAATGAATTATATCAAGAAAAGGCTACTTTCAAAATTCACGTAGTTAAATTTTTCAGTTTTCAAGGTATCTCCTCAAATCTTTTTACTTCATAAATGAAGTGGCACCAGAGTCCTTTGAATAAATGAAGTGTTAAACTTAGTAACTGTGCACATAATGTTATCTGAAAGCTGCTTAATCTGTGTATCAAAGTGTCAATCTATCATTGTAAGTTTCATTCAAATGTCTCTGAAATGTTATTAGCAAATAACTATCGGCACTTTTTTCTCAGTTGGTACCTCTCCGAGAGTCTGTAAACTTTATAAGTATTTCAATTTCACTATTTAAGGAAAGAAGAAAACTGATTTCCGAACACTCTTGTCGTAGGAGGCCCAAATTGACTAAATTTTTTTATTCTAAAACCATGCTACTAGTGCAGTAGAAATAATTGAAAATATAGCTTAAGGTGGAATTAATTGCAACATAAATGATTTTTGCTGTGAATGGTAGGTAGTATGCTTCTAATCAACATACTAAAAATATACATCAATACTGTGGCGCAAAATATGTTTTTTGGCCACCATCTTGAAAAAAGTGTCAAAATTTTATAAAATATTTTTCCTGAACTGATGTGT